AACCAGGCATCTGCACTTCGTTAGATGCTTCTTTTCCACATGGTTTGATTAGAGGATCATGAGTGGCGTCTCGTGTTCAGATAGTTAGCTTAAGACGTCGAAGAACAGAACGGGTGAGAAGAGAGGGCCCGGAGAGGAGGGGCCCCATCGCGGAGCACCAGAGGACAGGATGCTGTTGGGCAACTACGGATACGGAGCGATTCCGAATCTATCATTGACTTGAAGATTGCTTGTATCATTCACAGCCTCAGATCATCAATCCTGTCCGAATTCAGTCAAAGCTATTAGCCCGACTGACATCACCTGCCACCGCCAGGCATGACTCCGAGTCCGAGTCCGCCTCCGCCTGTCGACCCCGTCCCCGCATTCCTGTCAGCCTGGGCTAGCGAGCTCAGCTCGTTTAACCTTGTTTCTCTAGCTTCCCTAGCTTATTAGCTCCTGCGAGTAAGCGAAGTGAAGCTCTCGGGCTAATGCCGATTCAAGGTCCAGATCGTCAACACGTATCGAATGCTTACTCTGACTCGGGCGCGAGATGACCCGCTCAAAACTACATGACTGGCAAAAGACAGATTAACAACGCTTTCAAGCGTGCAAGCGTATATGCACAGTACTACATAGCACACACACTTGAAGCGACACAGGTTTGGCCAACGAAGTAAGGTCCTGTCAGACTTTTTACGCCCTAACGGCGACTGGCGCGGTGCGGCTGAGTCAAATTTGACGACTGTGACGAATGGAGTTGAGGGGATCCCCAAGAGAGGCGTTCGCTAGTCCCAGAGTTGCAGTTGGACCCTTGTGTAAGTTGTGTTGTGGCTTGAGGTTGCTTTTGAGTTGGCGGCTTGGCATTCCTGGGTTTTCAGCATCGCTTGCGGTGTTTTGCGAGGTTGGCAGGTTGGGGTCAAGCAGGCTGTGAGAATGGAACGTCGGGATCTTTGCCTGTGAAGCCACTGATGTAGATATGCTGGAAACATGTACTACCATTTCATCCCTGATGCCCTTAGGACATTATCAATCAACTCTCAAATGTCGCTGAACCACTATTCAGAGTAAACCTTTTCACATGCATTCGCAGTGTGATGGTGTTGTCGGACAACGTAAACCCGCCATGTGTGGTACTAGGCCCCTCGGCTGAACGGGATTTGTGCCGTCTGACAGATCTGGATCGTGAGTGCGATTCAGTTTGTCTCGGCTGTGGGCTTTCGATGAGGCTTCCTCTAATCATGAGTTTGGTGCACCCCAGCCATCAACATTGTGACATGGTTTGTCTTGGGCGCGCAGAAGTCGTGGAGAGAGATATTGTAAGTCGAGGGATGAGGCGCTGACATAAGTGGCGTTTTCCATCTGATGGGGTCGCAAAGAGACACAAAAGACAAAAGCGCAAAGTCTCCACTTTTCCGGTAACCAGGCGCACAGAATTTGATGTTCAAAAGCGCAAAGTCTGGCAAATCCTCACAACTCAAAGCCGACAACATCAAACAACCAAAATCGTTGCCAAAAGCAAAAGATATCGACGTTGGCCTGATTCGAACAGACGCTCCCGAAGGAACAAGATTTCTAGTCTTGCGCATTAGACCACTCTGCCACAACGCCGGAATGTAGTTGAACCCGCTTTGAGGCGGGGATGATGGGAACTGGCTTGCTGTCCTTCATGATCCTAGGCGGGGCGTGACGAATGTGCATGTCTGAGTAGCTGCTCGCGTGAGGTGTGGATATTGATCAAAATGTCACTAGCCCATGCAGTTTCGAAATGCTGAGAAGACAAGCGCCCATAGCAGATGTTTCTATCAATATGTGTTGTTGCGGGATATCCTATCACACTTGCGCATTTTTGCTTGGAATCTCCTCAAGTCTTCCTGAAAATATACCTCCACCACCCTCCGGTCCTCCATAACTTCAAAGTAGAACTAAGTGATTTCATGCAAGACAGCAAACTCGCGCCCGTTTCTTAGACGCAAGAGGCAATCGCTATCCCTCTCGCCAAGTAGAGCATCTCGAAAAGTGAGCGAATGCGAACTTGCCGACTGTCCGGTGCCAAGGTTATCAAGAGCCTCGGAAACTCTGCACTCGCTGGCGGTACCAGAAAAAACTGTGCAAGATGACACGAGGTGTGAGACTGCCCCTGACCCTGAGCCGATCAGACGAGCGGGGTCACCCAGATTTTTGGGGAGGGGAAGTCCAGCCGGCGGGGCTGCATGGAGCATTTGGGGTCTGAAATTTTTTAAACGCTGAACCCATGTCAATTCCTGTTGCTGGCTGTCGTCCGTTCTTATTCTAAATGCATCCTGGTATGAGGCCCGGAAAGTTGATGTAATCAGGAACAGCGCAGTAGTCTTTGTGAGCTGTGGGTAACTCCGCTTGTTCTTGCTATTTTTAACCTTATTCTTACGTTGACTCAATAATACCAGGCGAGTGCCTTGGTCTTTCTTTGACTGGAGCCGTCCACTTGAGATACCTAGGGCAGATCTGAGATCACCTTCAGACATTGATTAACTCCTGTTTGCCAAGGCCCATTATGAAGAGAAAGGCTAAAGCTCGCTGTCGCTACTTCTTGCCAACAATATTTGCAGCAGTAATGGTCGTCGACATTTTGCCAAGTCCAACGTCGACTAGACTTCTGGGTGGTATTACTTTCGCCAGGCCAGACCGCAGCGTCGGGTTCACCACGAAGACAAGTCGACCCGATGCCAAATGCTTGGCATAGAATGATGTCCCTTTCGAACAGCTGGGCGAAAAACTATCCAAGAGACGATCTTGGCGGGGTAATAATACATATCGCCCGATAAAGAATATTAGTTCCAAGTCAACGATGTAACCCGATACGACGGTAAAACTCCTTGGATTTCGTGCGTGAGCCCAACAAGTCATCGCACGGCTCATCACCTCTCACTTGTTGTACTGCCAAGTTTGTCTGCGCCGTCGTAGCCGCTCCCACATACAGGATCACTTCGAAGCCAGTGTAGCTCTCTACTGACTTGCGAAGCCTCGAAATAGATTTAGCTGTAAACTGCGGAGTTGCTCAAGGCAAGAGAGAGGGAGGAGATCGGATTCCTCTTGTCATGAGACTATTCCCGCCTTGCGTCCATGAAACGGTCAAAATATGGGGCTCCTTACCAGTCTCATTGGCTGCACATCACGGATGATGCGCGACCAGGCCTTACCCCAGACAACCCGAAACGGCTTGCCTGTCAGACACCTTGACTTGGAGTGTGTCGCTAAATCCTGCCAACCAACCTCGACGTATTAATAGAACAGCCCGGGTCTGATTGCTAAAATCAGCCTTTTGAGAGGTCAACCACGATGCGTCCGATGGTTGTCTATTATGTGATGGAAGTTTGGACAGGTGCTAATCTTGGCTCAAACATGTCCTCACCAACTCCTCCCATATGCCTCAGTGAGACCGAGCTGTCACAACACAACAGCGTCTTGGCTGGAGGTTGGATGGTGGACTACGGATGGTTACGATATATAAAGTAGTGTGAAGGATCTCTCAAAGTCAGTTTCGAGTAGAAAGTCTTCAGCCTCCAACGCGTCTTCCCTTTTGAGTTCATCTATCAAATTCGGTCGTGCGCTGGTTCGCCGGCATATCGTAATCATTCAATTCGATACAAAGTCTATTCCCACGATACCGTCATGTTCTTCGGATCTCTCCTGCCTCTGAGGCTGTTTGGCCCTGTCTTCTTTTACTCGATTCTTCTCTTCTGTTCTATTGCCATTCTTATCAATGCTGAAGATCCCACCTCTTCACCAGCTCAGCAAAGCGCACCCTTCGTAGACCAGGCCACAGGCCTGGCTATGGAGCGTTTCTTCGGAGCCCGTACCTCATTCGCCTTTGCGATGGCTCTACCAGAAACAACTTCGTCATCCTTCATCGGCCAGCTGTCATTCCCGCTCGTCAACGGTGCTGGATGGGGGGCGATGGGCTTGACCGGCGACATGGAAGGAAACTTTTTCCTTGCGGCATGGCCCGATGGCCAGGGCGGTGTCATGGCTACCTTTCGGCAGGGAACCAACGAGGACAACCCGCCCGAAGTCAAGGGCAACTTCGCCGTCCGGCCTATCGCCGAGGGCGTCTCTGTTAACGCGACGTCTCTGACGTATACCTTTCTCTGCGAAAACTGTCTCGACGCGACCCTGGGACTCGGCCCGGAGGCCACGAGTGCCAACGCTGTCATGGGATGGGCTCTATCGGAGAAGGCCGTGAGGAACCCCGGAAACCCTGGGGCAACTCTGGGGTTTCACGAGCGAGGATTCGGCCCGTTTACTGCGCGGCTAGGCAACGCAAAGTCTGCACAGTTTGATGCTGTAGCTGCCACCGCTGGGCAGCCCGTTGCTGGCTCGAGTCGAGCGGTTGCGGTGACCCCTAATGCGTTCCGCGAGGGGGAGGGCGGAGATGACGATAAGAAGAAAGGGGGTGGAAAGGGTGGAGATGACGACGATGATGATGACGATTAGCCAATTGGTTAATTTACTAAATCTAAATAAAATCAACTGCTAAAGATTGCTCATTGAAGATCTCTGCTCAACTCAATTCACCCTTACAATACACCAGTACTGCCTACATGTAGCTCCTGCAAAAGTTTTGAGTTTCCGACCACTTCTGGACCCCTCTGATTTGGTGCAAGCCTGAACTAGATCAACCGCATTCTGCTTCTGTGACAGCACGTATTTCCTGTGGGAAAGATTATGCGTCTGAATAGCGTAGGAATTTGCAATCGTACTAAAACTAATATCGATAGTTAGGGTAGCAACAATGAGTGCTGTCCAAAACGTGAAGAGCTTTGACGGATTCCGGTTCTCCTGATCAACCGAGGTTTCATAGCACCTCCCATACATCTCAATCATGGGTCTTACCCCGCAAGAAGAGTATACATCTTGGGCGGGATCCGTGTTCGACTTTCCTGCAAGGTAGATCACTGAGTTTATTGATATTGCAGATCTCAAAAACTGTCTTAAGTTCTGAACCCCTCATGCGAGTGCGACCATTCCAATCAGGGGCAGATCTACAGCAAAGTATCAGAAGAAACCTCCTTCCAGTCATCGACCAGTTTAATTGTGTCAGCACACTTCTTGGTCAACTGAGAAACTGCGTCCGGTCCAAGGGCAAGGCTGACAGGTAAGGGTCGCCCCTGAGCACTTCCTCTGGATCCGACCGTGTCAATGATGCGAGAAACTGCCTTGGCGGGATCTCCAGGTTGCTGTTGATGAGCTCCCTTAAATCGGGCATAGAGCGGATCAACAATAGGCTTGTAGTCCGGAATCTTCGTCTCAACATAGACAGTGTTGTTGGCGTTGAGCAGTTCGGTGCGGAAGAAACCTGGCTCTACGAGAAGTGTCTGGAGCCCCAATGGTGCAACCTCAAGATTAAGGGCCTCAACAGCACCTGATTTCAGGGGGCGTTAGTCAAAAAAGTTCCTCAGCCCGCCATTCAAACTTTTCTTTGGAAAGCCGGGGGAAATACCTCTCAAGGCACTCTTAGAAGCGCAATACGCCCCTAGGGTAGGAATACCTCCCCACGCGGCGGTCGAACCTATGAAGACAAATGTCCCAGATTTGCGTGCTCGGAAATGAGGTAAGAAGGCTCGAGTGGTACCAAGTGGTCCAAAAAGGTGAGTCTGAAAGACTTTGTTCCAATCTTCCTGGCTAAAATTTCAAGGGTCAGGTACACATATCTTCAATAAGGATCAAGAAGCGATGGGTCAAGTGAGAGCAACTAACCTGTCGTCCTCCATGGTTCCGAAGTGGGAGTAGCCTGCATTGTTGACTAGCACATCAACACTGCCATAGATGCTGAGGCTGTCCTGGGCCACCTTGTCGAACTCGGCCTGGTCGGCAAGGAGATCCAATTTCAGTACAGCCGCGCCAGCTTCACGAAAGTGGGCTATCTTCGAGGTGTCGCGAGCTGTAGCAATGACTTTATCTCCTTTAGCAAGGAGTGCCTTGACAAACTCGGCGCCAAAGCCTGAGGTGCTTCCCGTAATGAGCCAAACAAGAGGAGCCATGATGAGTCGGTTATTGTAAATGATTATTGTGCTTTTGGGTCTGAGTATAATTTTGAAGACGGTGTTCAACGAAGTGAATAGCAGTTGCAGAAGATTATAAGATAATCTGAATCCAAGAGATTTGAAATCAAGGGGCGTGCGGCTTTTGTCCCAGCAAGGCAAACTTCGTTCAGTCAGTGGACTTTAGACGATTTTACGGACATATCGGAAGTAAGGTGAATCATAGATATAAAGGCATAACCTTAAAGCGACATGATTCCAGTAAAATGCCGATGTAAGGCCTTATGTCGTCATGTCATGTGGAGTCCGAAGTCCTGACAAATCTCTCGACAGGACGCCATGCCCCCTTTCTAAAGTTATAGGCCTGGCGAAAGTCAATTATCTAATCCATGGTCAAAGCCAAGAGGTGAACTGGATGCTTGGCAACATACTAATCCAGGGCGACGATAAGACAGGCGACGGATGTTGTCGTTCTGGCAGCAACAGAGTGATATCTGAGCCACTTAGACTGCGTGGGTATCGGGCTTGGCCAATCTGTGTCAAAAAGTACTTAAGACTGACAACCACCTGACCCTCAATGTTATTCTTGAACACTCAAGAAATAACAGTTCTTAGAAATCCTATTCATTACTCAAATCATCTACTGCACGTACGCAATCTCAAATCATGTCTTTGATCAGCATCGCCAAAGGCAGTCTCCAATTAGCTGGCCTGCTCCGCCGCCCAGAGAACGCTTCATCTTTAGCTCCAGGCCTCGTCGTTGTCCATCCTGGCGGCGGAGTTAAAGAGCAGACTGCCAACCTTTATGCTCATCGCATGTCTCAACAGGGATTCGTCTCTGTTGCCTTTGACGCACTCTACCAAGGACAATCTGAGGGAAGCCCGCGCCACCTGGAGGACCCAGGTTCTAGGGTCTCGGATGTGTCCTCTGTTGTAGACTACCTACAGACCCTTGACTACGTCAACCCTGACGCGATCACAGTTCTCGGGATCTGCGCGGGCGGCGGGTACGGTATCGCCGCGGCAGCCACTGACCATCGAATCAAGGCGGTAGCCGCAATCAGCTTGGTCAACATTGGCGACACAAATCGCCAAGGCTGGCTAAACACCTTGAATATTTCGGATGCTTACGCTGCGGTTAAGTCTGCGGCGGGAGATATTCAAGACATCGTCAGGGATGGCAACATTACCTACCTCCAATACATTCCCGACCCTCCCCAATCCGACACACCCCCTGACCTGGTCGACGCATGGGACTATTATCGCACACCTCGCGGCTTTTACAACACGTCCGAGAACCGTATGCACCCCGCTTCGGTCCCCCTTATCTATCGTTTCGATTCTTGGCACCTCACAGACCTGTTTCTTTCTCAACCAACGATCTTGATTGCCGGGGAGGACGCCGATAGTCGTTGGGGCACGGATGATATCTACGAGAAAATCAAGGATTCCAATCCGAACGCGGTGAAGATTTTGGTGCCTGGTGGACGCCACATGGACTTTTATGACCGGGAGCCGTACGTGACACCCTCCGTTGCTAATGTGACGGAGTTCTTCAAAGCCCACCTCAAGCTTTGAGGAAGGTGTAGACATGGATCAATAAAAACGGCAAGATTTCGACCTATCTAGAGGTTTCGCAATAAGGTAGGCTAAGGATACATTTACTTTGATAATCATGCCTCCTGGGACTCTAGGCTTCGGCAGAGAAACTTCTGAATCAAAGACTCTTCAATCCAAATTTCGAACTGAATCGTTCATGTAATCAAGACCGCACGTGAGCTTCTCAGACGCACTAATGATCGAAAAAGGGACAGACCATCTCCCCAGCGTGCATATTATGAATTTCCACAGCGCTAGTAGCACACTGATATAGCCTAAGGTAGACCATAATCAAACCCGTCCCAGTGAGATGGCTGTCTCACTATACTTTCTGGTAAGATATCGCCTGAAGACTTCCGTTCCATCGCTATCATGAAGACTTCCAATCCACATTACCTGACGCAGACTGGCTTTCGCCTCAAACCACATGGTACCAAGACTGGTCTGTATTAGAGGGTAGAGAATATCCGATAGCCACCCTTGATCTCGATTTTGGAATACTGAGATGGCTCCTACCATCAAAGCCCAGGCGAACAAAAAGGTTTCTTCGGCCGTAGTGGGTGAAAAGGCCAGACAGGCCTCGTGGAACTGAGTGGCCAGATGAGGATATTCAGTTTTCAAGCCGGGAAAGCTCCAGAAAACAGTAGTCAGGTAGGCGTGGACTGAAAGTCTGAGAACCTCCACAAAACGGTCTCTAGTATCGTCATGAAAGTCAAGTACGAGAAGTTGTGACTGGATAAATGTCAGGAACTTCTCCAAAGTCATGTCCGCCAGCTTTTCTCCTGTCTCGTGGCTTGTGTTGATCATCTGTGAAAGAATCTGGACATTCTTCACACAGATGTACAGCTGTCTGTCAAGGCCATAAATCAGGTCGCGCGAGCGTGAAAAGCAACTCTGATCGATTGGCCAGTGCTCAAAATCATGGGTCTGGCTGGATAATTCACAAATAGAAGATGAGATGCCTTGACAGTAGACTGGCTTATAGCCAGTACACATACTGTAAATCAAATCCGCTCTTCGTTCGGGATTGTTAGTACATGTACTTCGCTGCTGTTTCAAGGAGAAGGAAGGTAGGGTGTTGCGTTGAATGCTTACCTCCGGATCTTTTCCTGGAGAAGAGGCTTTTCATCGTACGACTTTAGCCCCCCACGAAGGTCGATGATTCTTTTTAGTCCCATCATATGCATGTGGGCGCTCTCCATATCTCCAAAGCACTCCGTAATAAAGAGCATGAACATAACCACCGTCGTTGTGGAGTCAGTCAAGGCAGTCTGTGGGTCGCAGAGCTGTTTATTGAGTTCGCTGACAGTTCGATATGAGTGATATTTTGTTCTTTCACTCTTCCGCCCCGCCAGATCATCGAAGAAGAACGAGGTGGTGTACAGGATGGCGTGGAGATAGGCTAGATCAACCTGGGTCCAATGAAACCAGTAAATATTGGTGACGTCGGAAGCAGAGTACTTGGCGATTGGATACATGTTGGTTTTCAAATAGGTGAAATCTGAGGATGGCGTTAGTGCACATAGCACCGGGATGAGTTGTCTGAGACCCACAAGTACAAAGGAGGCTACGAGCACTAACGTCGATTTCTTCAGGAAACCTAACGAAAGCAAAGATGCTAGCTGAGGGAGGAGATAGGAGAGGTTGTTGCACGCCGGCAATATCACGATCGTTGAGCAGGTCGTATCCGGGTTCATCTTCTTGGAGGCCGCCATCATGGCCATGCGTTGTGGATGGTAGCCCCATGGTGACTGGGAAGATATGCCGCATCTGTAATCTTGGTTTCGTCCGCTTCCGAGTATTCTTGCCCCTCATGACATGGCTTCTTATGAGCTTTCGGTCTCTGTCCGTTGGCAAATCGCTTGCTGTGGTGATGACAAAAGCAAGTCCATTTGTCGCTTGTTCCCATGTCAGCCACTGAACTCTCATGTTCATGATGCATGTGACCACTCAATGCTCGCGTGCAATAATTTACCGGTTTGTTCAGTTTTTCCCGTACTAGACATGACTCTCTGAGTATGGGGACGGAGCGGACTTTCGGTCGATATCTTCATTAGGAAAACAGTTGAAAATCAGAAGTTGTTGATGGGAAATCCAACCAGAATTGCAACAGAACTATGCGGACATTAAGAGCTTCCGCACGAAGCACTGACCCATTTGCCAAGACTTGATTATTTCCCTAATTCGATCTAGCGCGATCTGTCCCATAGTTTGAACTCAGTCTCAATACCATCCGCCTACCCGACATCCTTACCACGTCTTACCGAGCACGTAGTCGGTTTCGGTCTACCACGGATCTCCATGGAACAACTCGAGCAAAGCAAACCATAAATAAGAAAGAAAGAGGAAGGATCCAAACTAGACATTCAAGCCGACCGTGGAAGAGCGAGACACAATCCCGGAGATTTGGCCAAGGCATTCAATCTACTCGACTTTGTGAAGAAACAACGAGACATCAGTCCATCAATACCACCATCAATACCACCATCAATACCGCCATCAATACTGCTGGAGTAGGTATAAGAGCAGATATTCTTCTGTTGTAAGTGTCACTCTGATACCAAGTCAACTTTATGATACATTCCCCATCAAAATGCGGGTTCACACGATTTGCAGCATTGGCCTTGTCCTGCATGCCGCCCGTGCAATTGATATGAGAGACTACGCACCATCATGCGGCGTAGAACCAGAGTTTCGGCTCTGGTACAAAGAGTAGGCCAGACCAAATTCACCTTCGTTCCATACGTGCTCATAAATCGTTGGATCCAACTAGACTTCTCAACGCTTTTGAAGACCCTGCCGCAACTGATCGCGCCACCGACTTCTTCGCACCCGGCGGTGCTTTGGTCATCCTCGGAGCAAGGAACACTGGCAATAGAGAAATCCTGGCAGCCAGAGGAGCGATGTTGCCCGCAGATGATTCAGTGCAATGGAACGTAGGTTACTCGGACCTTTCTTATGACGGTGGAACGAAATGTCGGCTGACTTCCTATACATAGCATTTCCCAAATCAAACCTTCGTAACTTTGGAGACACGAACGGACAAGACTTTTGAGGTCGGCGGGGTCCTGGAGATAAGCCGCCCGATCAACTCAAGCTGCGCAACTACGTAGTAAGACATGAGTACTTTCTTTGGTCGCATTCCGTTATCTATACAGACAACTCACAAAGTCTACACATGTTTAGCTTCCAAACGCATTTCACCGTTGCGAAGAATCCGGAGACCGGAAAGACGAATCTCACCCCGCAGGGTGGCAGTCTTATCATCTACGACGGATATTCTATCAACGCCACAAGTGACCCCTGCATAAAGGGAAACAGCAGTCATTGAGTGCGTGTGTCATTTGTGGCATATTGGATCCTATCTGCAGGAAACAAGGATTTCTGCTCATTAGCTTGCT